AAAAGCCGAAACAAAGGTATTTGAATCCTTTTAGCTCAGTCGAAAGTCTTCAAATATTAATTAGAAGAACTTCGATATCAACAAAACCATTGTTTGAATTGCATGTGTTTTAATTCTCCACTGAGATAGAAATTAATGAGGAACGGAAGCGAGTTTTATTAGATGTCATTGAAACAGCAAACAACATCTGAAACATTGTTTGTCTACGTCATCTTGCTCCTCATTTCGAGAAGTTTAATATACAAACAGAACATCCATGGCAAAAAAACACATATCTTGTCTTTTACCAAAATATTTAATTTTCTGTGCCCCAGTTCCGATGATATCTGGGAAGTCCCACCGATCACTCCCAACGACCTTCTTCTAGGCCATCACAATCCACCGCCACAGCCAGAACCAGAGGAAAGAACCAATCCGCGACAATTACTCAGAAGCACACAAAACAGAGTCGCTGATTTCTGGAGGAGTTGGATGAAGTATTTCGCCCCAAACTTGTTACCAAGAAACAAGTGGTTTCGCGTGCGAGACAACATTCAGACCGGTGATCTTGTATTGGAGCTAGATCCCAAACACAAAAGATGTGAATGGAAAATGGCGCGTATTATAGGCACCTATCCTGGAAACGACGGCCTTGTCCGAAAAGTGAGAAGCAAAACAAGAGACGGAGAGTACGACAGACCTATTCACAAACTGTGTTTGATTGCAACAAAGGAAGAGCTTGATGCAGGACTACTTTAGTTTAAATTAATTCGAGAACAATGAACACTTGCATGAATCTTTCAGTCTTAAAAAACAATTCGTTGCTCAACTAGAGTTAAACTCTTAATTTCCGCACTTGGGCGGAGTGATTTGCACTTAGTGTTTTATAGTTTTGGCACCAGAGCGTTCTCCCAGGTAGTCTGGGGACCAACCCCTCTTTTTATTTAAAGTCGCGAAAAATCCAATATTCAAAATAACGGTCAGCCAGAGATCACGAAAAGATCTAAAGGATGTATGGAATGCCTACGAATTGTAAGTTAAAATTTCGTTAAACACTCAATTGTTATTCAATATTTAAAAAAAATCCGTATTTGTTTTTTAGTTTGACTTGCTTTCTCTGGCAACCAGTACAAAAATAAACGGCCACCATACATCAGAAACCTTCAAAGCTACAGTGACGCTTCAAAGCGAAAGCGCGAATCACTCTGATACTTCGTGAAAAGAAGGATCGGGAAGGTAGTAACAAGATGGCACTAGACCTTCCATCGAAGAGTTTTAAGCCATGAGCTCCCTTAGTTTCACTCAGAGTCGCAGATGGCACTGTATACTGATAAAGCTATATGAAAAATAAATGCGCTTAAAAAAAAAAACTGCCGATATTACTTTGAGAAGACTTTCAAATATGAGGTCAAAGTAAATAAGTCTTACTGGCTGAGCTAAAAAAGACATTTCGCTGATAGGATGTTCCCCCGCAATTGCAATACCTGTCGCACTTTTAAAGGCCCATCGCGCTCAGTAATAAAACTTTTCGCATTTTTTTAATATAACAGCTATCGCGCATTGTAATTCAATACCATCTCAATTCGTAATACAATGAGCTGTCACACTTTGTAAAAACACTTGTGGCACTTTTTACTGCAAGAGCTGTCACACTTTTTAATAACAGACCAATCCAAATTGAGATAAGATAAGCTGTCGCACTTTCTAATAACGCATGTCACGTATTATGTTATTAAAAGCTCAAACAAACAAACAAACAAACAAAAAGACCAAAGGAGTACTATCTCACTCAAGAAGGAGGAAGGAGCACTTTTTGTTTTATTTCCCTTTTCTCTTAGTTCATCCACCAAACGCTTCCTACGTGTTCGAATTCTTCAACAGAGCAAAGCACGGCGGAGCTTCTTTATTTGATCATCGTTTCGTGTTACATAATCTCTAAAAAAAAACTGAGTGTGTACGTCAAATTGGCGTCCAATTGGAATCACACACGTTATCATCACGTGCCATTGGAAAATTCAATGTAAAATGCCAGGTGCTTTCAACCTCGATTGAACAGAAGGAACCACTCTTTACAAGCGATATATTAGGCCAATTCTTTATAGTCTGACGACTTTAAGTCGAGTGAAAGTGCGTCATTGCCGGTATGGCGCTAAAAATAAAGCATACACACGTTTTACCATTAACCAATGGGAATCAATAATCGGAGAGAATAACTATATAAGATCCCCAAAACGTGAAGTCTCCTGACACGGAAGAATGAAGATACTAGTCAGTTTGCCGTCTGGTAGCAGTAAGTAGTCATGGATTCGCACATTTCCTCCGACGAACCTTCTTGTTTTTATCTTCCTCGTCCATTATTTGATCGAGCCTCAGAGCGACTTCTTGCAAACTTAATAACGGCCATCATCAACATCATTACTGCTCCAGTCGCCGTTGTTGCCAATGCACTGGTTGTCATCGTCATTTTGGCCAGTCCTCGTTTACGAACTCCTTCCAATCTATTACTAGCGACTTTGGCGTTGTCAGATGCCCTTGTCGGCCTAACAGTCCAACCAGGTTATATAGCCTACAGACTTATGGAAAACCAACATCGTTCAGTTCCCTGTTTCATAAGACTTATCTATAGCTCTGCATTCTACGTTTGTTTTGGTGTATCTTTCATGACTTTAACCGCTATCAGCTACGAGCGCCTTGTGGCTGTTCGTCTACGCGTAAGGTACAACACGATGTTTAGTACGAGACGAGTACTGAAGTATGCCTTGGGGATATGGACGGTGAATATATTCTTGACTGCTCTGGAATGGGCTAAAATAGATAAAGCAATGAGAGGTATTCATCTAACTCTTTGGTTCATTTGCCTTCTTGTCGCAATTGCGACCCAAATTGGCGTTTTTGTAGCTGTGCGAATACATCATCGACAAGTGCAACATAAACTTCAGGCAAATGAAAGGCTACAGAGACAAAGAGAAGTGACCTTAGCGAAGCAGATATCGATTGTGGTTGTAGTCTACTTGATTTTTTACTTTCCCGTCTTTTTTGTGACATTTTATCACCAGATATTGGGGCTAAACATACAAACGCACAACCACTACAGCTGGGCAGAAACACTGGCTTTTCTAAACTCCTGCTCAAATCCATTTATTTGTTGTTGGAAAAAGAGAGAGATTCTTCAAAAAGTCAAAAAAAGAATAGTTTGCTGGTGAAACTCTAAAAAACGTGCAGTATGCTGATTTGCCCCCTTATTATGATTCTATTTCATTTTCCCTGTGTTTTGTTAATATCTTGACGATTGATTTTGGGTTTTGAAGTAATTTTCAATACTGCCAGCAAACGTCAATTGAACATTTGACATACAGTATTCTTAGAACTTACTCGATTGATCTTAGGTTTTTCATCAAAGTTTCAGGTTGTTAAATTTCGCTTTATTACAAGCACTTACTCTGGCGATAGATCTTTTTGAGACCGTACAGAACGATTCTGAAATGACTTTATATCAATAAAATCTGGAATCAGCTTTCTTTTATGGCCGTATTATCATTGTATACGATTAAACGGAATATCCATAACGTCAGATGATGCAAACCACCGGCAGTTTCCGCTCATTTCTGTTTTTAAACAACAAGAGACCGCCATTTTAAGCGTCACATTTGTTATTAAAATTTTGAAAGGTAGAGGAAAAGGTGGAAATGAGACAACATGTTTGACACCAAAATATAAATATATATTCGAGAATAAACGATTAGATGCGCAAATCCATCTGCAGGTCTGGGAAAAATAGTTTACTCGCGATAATTCCAGTCTCACTGTCACTAACTCATGCAGCTTAAAGCTATATATCGACATAGGCTTTTGTGGAAGATAATCTTTGGTAAGGGAATGTTATTTATAAAAACTTAAAACGGTTCACAAGGCACAAGGTATAAGGAGAAAAAAATACTTGATGGCGATGATATTTCATCTACGAAAATGTTGCCATTGTGACAGTTTGGGAAGTAA